GTTTAATTTGTTGGTTTGTCTATAGGAAAAAATGAAACAAATGCGAGATGAACTGAGGGCCAAGATGATTTACAAGATACAGTACGGATAGTTGCCACAAATATGCAAAGTGTGCAGGAAGATTATTCAAATTTGAGGGCTAATTTGGTGGCAGCTCTCGAGGCATCCAACAATGGTGGGCTGGATAATGCACAGTTGATGTCAATGTTGTGCGCAACTTTGATGCTGTGCAACAACCTAGAAGGAGATTTACATGTTTACATTATGTTATTTTGGATATTAAGCGTGTTTAGAACCTTGGATATACTATTAACTTGGATATGCTATTTTGGATATTATTCATCTATGAGATGAAGCTTTTGTATTCTTGATGCAGAGTATTATAATTATTTGGATCATTGTCATGAAATCATTCACACATATTATCAATTGTGATGAGTTTTTTTGGCATAACAAATTATACAATATGATGATTTGTTATATGTCATATTTTAAACAAAGTGACAATTTATAAAGCATCACAAATTGAACGTTATGACAACTTGTCTATCGTCATATTAGATACCATGTGACCACTTGCTAGTCATCAAAAAATGAATTAGATGACCTATTGTTACACGTCACAAAAGCAACAATGTGACAAAACACGAGAAGCCACATATTGTAAACAGTGACAAATTCATACATCGTCACAGTGTACTATATGTGACACTGAGTTATAGTCGTCGCATTTGACATCGGGTGAGGGGCCTAATGTGATGACCCTTGTGACGCCAGAATATGGTCACTTTAACGTAACCGTGAGGAAATTTTGCCTAATGTAAGGAATTTTTTTCGTCACATTAGGCTTTTTTTTCTTGTAGTGATCTCTACCTAGTTTCCAGATTACATTTTCTAAAGACTTGAGGTTTGATCATCATTGTTGGTTACCAACTCAAAGCCAGATCAGTGACTCTAGAGCTAGAGGGGTTGAGTTTCTTTCCGCAATACCCACGTGATTCCAACGATAGAACGTCAACATGAAATGGATAGAGGACACTCAGGGGAGTTGGTAGAAATGTGAAAACAGAAACCACTCCCCATAACCATTAAATTTCAGGAAAACAGGCTGGGTTTCCTTCCATACCCATGAAGATTTGGTCAGTGAGACATTCAATTCCAGTTTGCAAGGAAAGCACAAGAGGTATTCAAGGGAGTTAATTCACAAGAAGTCAAAATTGATCACCATGACTGACTCTTGATATGGGCTGTTTCTGTCAAAATAACTACTACTCCCTTATTTGCTGGAGCGAACACTTTTCAGCGAATATCCTCCAGATATTTAGGAATCATCATCAGGCAGATTTTCTATAAATACAAGAGGATGTGAACTGGAGAGAGGACGGCAAAAACTCTCAGTCACGCTGACAAAATCAAGAAAGGTCACACGATCTTGAAAGTCTTCAAAACTCAGAAGCAATTAGGCTATCTAGCTTGCAAAAGCCATCCAACTTTTGACAAAACAGACAAAACTTGAGATTCTAACTTCAATCCAGCTCAAAGAAGCAGCTCACAAGGGAAACAAGATTTCTCTCGTTACAAATTTGGTTCAGAATAAGTGAATCAAGCGGAATTCAGTTTGTTCATAATATGAAAACCTCAACAAATTTCTAGAGACATCTTGATATCCTAAAACCACCAGAATATCTCTCAAACAATCCCTAGTCAAGCAGAACAGGTATTGAATTGCAATTCCAGGTCAACAATTGCCAATCTAGCCACCTCCAATCCAGTCCAGATCAGACAGATCCCAGTTCTGCCCACTCAACAAGCCTCTCCATGGCTCAAATTGATTATAGCTATGCCAATCTCAACGTTGGTATCAATTTCCAGTTGATCTCTATTAGTTGAAGGTGCTGACGTGCAATTCCAGTCCAGCTTGAGTCACAGACAACAATCCAAGTAGAAATCAAAGCCCAATGTTCTGATGTCTTTCCATACTTGGCAGTTCCTCTTTGTTTAAATGAATAATAAGCAATTCTTTTTGAACTTGTTTGTTTTATTTCCAAACACCCATTTTGGCTAAACTTACTAGTTTTTATTGTGAAAAATTATAAAGCCCTCATCCGTCTGAGGCGAGAAAAGAACTTTTTTGGGAGATATTCCTCACACAATTTCACAATCACTTGATGGGGTGCAAGTTATTACATTCCATAGTCTGTTAGGGTTTTTAATTGTTAACCGTGGCACGCTCGCACACAAAAGAAAGTTGACTTATCCACCACCAATAGTTTTTAGGTTAATAGGGAACTTTACACTACCACCACAAGAACTACATCAAAACGGGTAAACAATCACATTATTCAGGAAATTAGGACCATTATCAGAAAGATTAAGATGAGATTCATATTGTTATGAAAGGATGCCAACTCTCAGATATCAAAAAGCAAACTTACTTTTTCTTTTTCATTTCACGAAGGTCAATTGGCAAACCTTTCCACAATCACTTGTAATATCATATAATGGTCATTGTGAATAATCCTGTAAGCTTCATAATAGAAGGAACAGAACATTTTAGAGAGTAGGGCATATACCTTGGACAGATCTCACCTCTATATTTTCTGCTACCGCTTTCATTCTTTCTCTAAATCTTCAACTTCAACTCATTGTTGGGAGATGATAAAGAGCATACTTAGTTCTCTATTTATCTCAGCTCAAAAATGTACTTCTAAGTTTTAAGAATTGACTAATCTTAGAATATGAGCAAATTAATTTCTCTTGTAGCTTCTGAAAATTAATTGCCAACAACAAGTATATGTACAAGAAAATATACGTGGAATAATTAAAAGGGACCTAACTGATACGCTAACAGCAAAAAAGGGAAACAGTGAAGAGGACAACACTGAAAGATGCATATTCAATATCAAATGTTATATGAAGCATCATATCTTCTGCCATATCAAGTAGAAACAAGAACTTTGTCTCCAGTAATGATAACAGACTTGTTTGGCATCCATTTCTTATTTCCAATTCTTCAAGACCATAATCTAAAATATCCATAATATCGATGAAATATTGAGGATATTATCCTTTTTTTCGGGTCAAGGATACTTTGGAACCATACACATATCGTATAAATATTAATAATATCGATGATAATATCGACGTCTATAATTTCTCTCACATTTCAACAATATTTGGCCAAAATATTGCTATAATATCGATAATATCGAGACAATGAAAAATTTGAAGAGTTATTTACACTAACACCTCCTGATGTTGCTTGTGTTTTCACAAAACCCCCTTAAGTCTCAAAAATTACACGAACACCCCCTGAGGTTTTAGTTTATGTTCAAAAATTACAATAACACCTCCTGAGGTTGCTTGTGTCCAAAAATTGATGATTTCATTGGAAAAAAATTATGCAAATGACAATGAAGTATATGCAATCCAACCTCAAAGGTCAACTTTGTCACTTGGAGAATTTTTTTTTTTTTTTTTGGTATAAAATCATCAATCTTTGGATGAAAAATCAATGAAAAGGAGTTTTGTGAAAACAATTTAAAACCTTAGGGGCTATTCATGTAATTTCCAAAACCTCAAGGAGTTTTGTGAAAAAACCGAAAACCTCAAGAGGTGTTAGTGTAAATAACTCAATTTTGAATCTTATAGGAAATCTATGTGGTACTAAGTTACTCATGTATTTTACCATGCAATGTATAAAGTGTAAAATATTGTAGCAAATCATTATAAATAAATGATTATGGTGTGTTTAATATTCTTTCATTAATTATTACACTACACTTGCAGTGTTTGTCAGCTCGCTATATAATCAACTTAAATCAGTTAAATGCATTTTCTTCCAATTTTTGTGTGATAAAGTAATAGATAATTGACTAAATAAACATCCTCCAAAGTTTCAAGAAAACTTTACAAGTTTTTCTTACAATTTTCATGGTTTTTATTCAATTTTTATAGATATCGATAATATCCCAATATTTCCATCGAAATTTCCATGTTTACCTATATTTCAGAAACTATCGATATTTTAGACCTTGTTACTAAAATACATGTGTATTGAAATGATTCCAATTCATGACTTCACCTACGTTTACCAACACATAAGGATTAAAATAAATAAATAAATATATATATATATATATATAAGGGTTCTATGTTAAAATTCGTACCTCAAAATCCGGAATGGGGGAGTAGTTGATTTGATTCCCATTCCTTAATTTACCTATCAAAGTTCCCCGATTCATGACTTCTCCCTTTCCTAGTAAGTAAATGTTCCAGGAGATTAAAAATAAAAAGGAAGACTTATTTTAACATTTCTCTTAAAGTTGTTGAGCGTTAGCGTGCAAAACATACATGCACAGTGCAAATAAAATCAGTGTCAATTTAGTTCCATGCACAACAATTGTAAGTGCAAATAAAATGTGAGTGCATGTATATTTTGCTTATTAACGCTCAACAATTTTAAGAGAAATGTTATGATTAATCGTGCATGTAGCATTATACTATTGTGATTGTCATGGGAACAAGGAAGAGAAGGGTCATAACAATCTATAAAAACAGAACATGGAAATAAAGGTAACATGAGCAGCTCATCCCATAGCGTAGACAACCTCAGAGATTTCTTATTGAACTTGAATGACCGTTTGCTTGTCAAAAATTTTGAAATGTATGGAAACATTGAATATATGTATAACATTCGATGAATAAGCTATAATGTGTAGAGACAAAGCTTTTGTTGGAAACAACAATCAGTATCAAACTGGCTGTCCTTGAAGGATTCATAGACAAAGCTATAATCTTTCAATGCGGGACAAGAGGAAATTGAACTTTAACAATACGAGCTTTAACAGGTTTAAGTACGCAATCCATGGCTGTCTTTGAAGGCTGCATATGGCATTACAGAGAAAGTAACTTTCAACAACATCATCATCCGATAAAGTTTTCTTGCAAGAAAACCAAACGAAGACGTGCCCCCCAGGGTTTAACATGAGTTTATCTTGTTTGAGATGAAGAATTCTTCATCAACACAAAGAGAGCTTTTCCATGCGGTCAGATCAGACGAAGGCCGCCCCTCCAAACACAAATGAACTATCTGCAGGACAAGATAGCTCCGATCAAAGAGCTAATAGAAAGCATACTATTATGATAACTATGAGATTGTTTTTGTTCTATTTTTGGGTGTTGTTTGTGTGGGGTCGTTCTGAGCAATGGTCTAGTGCTAAGAATATAAACAAAGGTGCCAACTTTCAAATATAAAAAAGCAAACTTTTCTTTTTTGATTTCACTAAGGTCAATTGGCAAACCTCCCCACAATCACCTGCAAGATCATGTGATGATGGTCAGTAATGAGTAATCCTGTAAGCTTCATAATACAAGGAACAGAGATTGTGAGAGAGTGGAGCAATACCTTGGTCAGTAATGTTTTCTGCTACAGCTTTCATTCTTTCTCGAAATCTTCAACTTCAACACATCAGAGCATGCATTTCTTGAGTTTGTTAGAAGATGATAAGGTCATTCTACCATAAAAGAGCATGCAATGCGCTTTAGTTTTCTTCAATTGTAAATGTAAATGAAATGAAAAATGAGGGCAATCCATACAATAAATTGTTATTCCCTAAGAATTAACAAGCAAACCTTTCGGAAGTGAAAGGATCAGAAAAGGATCAACAGAATTTTACCTCATACTTCTATTCCTCATCAGATTTTGAAAAGCCAGTTCTAATAGCTATACAATGAGAATTTCAACTCGATTGCTTTCAATTTTCATGCATATCTCAGCTCAACAAGATACTCCTAAGTTCAAGACATTAAGAATTGGATCGTTAGATTCATCTTAGAATATGAACAAACTAATTTCTCTAGTTAATACGCTAATTGAAAACTAATTTCCAACCAATTGATACGCTAATTTCCAACAAGATACTTCAATTCGGTAGATTTATATGAATCCGATTTGTGCTTTGTTTTGAATTTGAATCATGAACATGTAGTTGTGTAATACCTGAAAAATTTCTGAATTGGAAATGGCATCGTATCAAATAGGAGCACGAACAGGAACTTTGTCTCTAGTAACGAGAATGGACCTGGGCATCCATCATATATTTCTAATTCGTCAAGACATTAGTCCATGTTACGAGTAGTACTGGCCATAGCTTCAGACATTAGTCCATATTTCTAATTCATCATGTAGAACCCCACACCCGGACGACAAGCTAAGTCTTTCAAGCAAGTAAGATGACAAGGCAAGCTTCCTCATAGCTTCAGACACTTGTCTAAAGTCAGGTCCTTGATATGAGGAAAATCTGGACACCGGCCTTCCGGTCTTCATTCCTCCCACTCTGGAAAATGAGTAAAACAGATGAGAATGCATGGTGGATGTTATCTATTACAACAATGGGGAAGCAAAATAAATCAGGGAGAGTGCAGACCAATTGTTTGTTTATTGCCCAGTATCTCAAATTTGTGGTATGTATTATTCAGGAAGGCTTGAGTGAGTTGGCTAACATCAGAAGGGGAGGAATAGGAGGGTTTTCAACAATTATAAGGGGTTGGGGATGGAAGAGCTTCCAAATAAGGTGAAGTTCCTATCTTCACCTTGAGCATTGGCAGCTCAAGGATAATTTCTTTGTTAAAGCTCTTACAGTTGTATTTCTCTTAAGATCAGCTCTGTTCCTGTTCTGTGGTGGACGAGTACTTGTTCACTTCTGTGGTATTTTACTATCTTAACATCAGAAGGGGAGGAATAGCAGCAGTGGCAATGTAATTCACAAAAAGCCGGGAATGCATGCAATTAGTAACTGAAGATTCGATTATTGACAGAGTGTGCCTATGGTGTGGTTGGTTATAAGCCAAAAATGAATATGTATTAAATAAATAAATAAATGTGCTGAACAACTTTGGGGTATGTATTATTCAGGAAGGCTGGAGTCAGTTGGCTAACATCAGAAGGGAAGGAATAGGAGGGTTTTCGACAATTATAAGGGGTTGGGGACGGAAGAGCTTCCGAATAGGGTGAGGTTCCTATCTTCACCTTGAGCATTGGTTTGATCATAATTCAGGGATGGAAGGCAGCTCAAGGATAATTTCTTTGTTAAAGCTCTTACAGTTGTATTTCTCTTAAGATCAGCTCTGTTCCTGTTCTGTGGTGGACGAGTACTTGTTCACTTCTGTGGTATTTTACTATCTTAACATCAGAAGGGGAGGAATAGCAGCAGTGGCAATGTAATTCACAAAAAGCCGGGAATGCATGCAATTAGTAACTGAAGATTCGATTATTGACAGAGTGTGCCTATGGTGTGGTTGGTTATAAGCCAAAAATGAATATGTATTAAATAAATAAATAAATGTGCTGAACAACAGAGAATGATCTGGGAAGTACCATTTGATGCAACCGTAAAGGTTAATTGGATGCAAAATTGATGGCAAATTTGGGGCAATTGACATAAAAATTGTTTAAAATGTGTATTTCGGTTTATTTGGATAGTGAATTTCAGTTTTTGTATTGAATTAGAAGAAAAGCAGTTAAAGCGGTTATTTGAAGTACATACCTGACTTGAGTTTGTTTGTCTCTATGAGAGAGAGAGAGAGAGAGAGAGAGAG